TTTTTGTTGTTGTTGTTGTTGGGGTTTGGTTGGGAGCTACTTATGAAGAATTCAGAGAGCACTTGTGGTCTAGTGTTGAGTTGTAAAGGGATCCTGTTTAAATCCACCAGCCGCTCTGTGGGCAAAAGATGGGCAATCTCTGCTCCAGTGCAATTCTGTGAAAATCCACTGGAGGGTCAGCTATGGGACAGTTTTGAATAGAAGATATACTACAGCAACAACAACAAAGAGCCCCGTCCTAAACTTGACACTGCAAGAAGGGACCAACAGACAATTTTTGAGAAAGTAGAAAGGTTTTCCAGGAGAGGGGATATAAAGAAGAAAAGGTGATTTCCACAATAGGAGGTATGAGCAGCAAATTAAAAACCAGTAGGATCTATGGTTAAGTCCAGGAGACTGAACTGGAATGACCCATAAGGAATGAGAAAAATGGCTGGTTCAAAGGAGGCACAAACGAGGCTTGGATTTCAGTCAAAGTACTAATTAAATGTGAATCCAAACTAGCTCTTAGTATATTCCCACTGAGCTCTGCTGTCCTCTGACGCCCTTCAAGCACCTGCCCTAGAAGGATGTGGAGAAATCCTCTAACTGCTTCACTCAGTGCACAATTTGGTGGGTGGAGGGAAGGGGTGAAGGCTATGGGAAGGTTTGATGGGGACCTGAAAAGACAAGATAATAATAGGCAAGGTCCACTGGTGATTAATTTTACAAAACACAATGCATGGGAATGACTGTATGAAATATCATGTGAATAAAGAATAGTGTGAAACACAATGTATAAGAACTTTCTGAGCAAACCTCTATATAGATAGATATAGATGATACATAGATATGTAAAACATCTGAGAGTATTTGTTTAAAAAAACCCCAAAACTTAGACCAGCAGGCTGTTGTGCAAACAGATCAGAGAACACTGCATGGTTTAAAATTAAGAAAGGAGTGTGTCATGGTTGTATTCTTTCTCCATATTTATTTAATCTGTATGCTGAGCAAATTGTTTGAGAATTCAGACTCTTTGAAGAAGGATATGGCATCAGGATCCGAAGGAGACTCATCAATAACCTGCCTTATGTAGATGACTCAACCTTGCTTGCTGAAAGTGAGGAGGATTTGAAGCAATTGTTACAGAAGATCAAAGAATATAGCCTTCGATACAGATTGCATCTCAATGTCAGGAAAACAAAGATTTTTATCACTAGACCGTTAGCTAACATCATGACAGAGTAAAGATTGAAACTATCAACAACTTCATCTTATTTGAATCCACAATTAACATACTTGGGACTAAGGAGACATATTGCTTTGGTAAAGTTTCCAGTTAGGGACCTCTCCAAATTATTGAGGAGTAATGATGTCAGTTTGAGGACTAAGGTGTGTCTGATTCAGGCCATGGTCTTTCCGATCACATACTATGCATCTGAGAGCTGAATAATGAATAGGGATGACAGTGGAAGAATTGATGCCTTTGAGTTGTGTTGGGAGAAGAGCACTGAACATCCTATGGACCGCCAAATATATCTTGGAGAGGGTGCAGCCAGAGAGCTCTTTGAAGTCAAAGATGATGAGGCTTCATCTGACCTACTTTGCACATGTTGCTAGGAGGGGCTATTCCTTGGAGAACATGATGCTCAGAAAGGTAGAGGGTCAGCAAAGGAGAAGACGACCCTTGACCAGATGTATTGACATGGTGACTGGCGCAATGAGCTCTAATGTGTCAGGAAGAGTGAAGATGGCACAGAATAGGACAGGGTTCAGATCTATTGTTCATGGGGTTGTTACTAGTTGTACTTGACATCACCTAAAGTAAAACAATAACTTCATCCTCAAAATTTTCCAGTCTTAGGATGAGGTATCATGTGTCAGGTTAGGGGACACATTTCTCCAATGGAAAACATATCCTAAAGCTGAGCTGACACTTCAGCCAAAGCGTATCAGCTTAAAGCCAAATCCTACTCTTGTCTTCTGCATCCAGGGACTGGCAGAGCCGTGTCCAATACTTTGTAATTCTATTATTGGAGAATCAGGCCAAGAGTACCTCAGAAGTCTTATCTTTTCACTCATAAAACTGAAAGTTGCTGAATCATTCAACCAGAAATCACCTTATTCAACCAGAAATCAATTTGATCCACACTATTAATCTTTTTTTAAAAAAGTTAACTTTTAATGGCATAAACAGAAATTCTCTTTTAAAGAAATGCTCAGTTGAGGGTTACTGGCAAGGTAGGCAGAACATTTTTGTTATTCAGAGAAAGATTGACGGTGACTCTGGGAATGAACTACAAGAAGTTAAGGGATTTTGAGAAGAAGAGATGTCAGAGAAAACACTGTATACAGCATCTGTAAAGAAAATGTTTTATTGAAAGTGTTAAATACCATCACCAGAATGAATTTGATTTACAGAAGTTGGTGTTCATTACAGGACTAATCTGCCCTATTTTTGTTGTTGTTTTTCCCCAACTGGAATTCCCTTTACTTTTAAAACATGGTATGTACAGGGCAGCAGTGGTCACTATTTACATGACTAAACCACAAATTGAGGTGCAGACATGTGAAAATTTAAAAAAAAATACACCAACTTTTAAATAAATACTGCATAATGACAAGTATGTACAAATATTCCATATGGTCATGTCCTTCTTATTAAAATTAAAAATAATTTATATTGGAATATGCACAAAAGATTATGTGACTGCATCTTAGTATCAGGAAAATGGTAAACGTTTCTTCTAAGGGAGAGTTTAGACACTAGAGGTCTATTAAATCAATTGTTGCTGGTACACAGGTTTGGAAATTATTTCAGTAAAGTTTTATTCGTTCTTGTACAACTTTACCCAGGTCCACTTTAGATCTCAGAATGTCAAGACCTAGTTTCATATTGCACCACATAAAGAGAAGGCATTTTTAGTGAAACACATTTTAACTTTTGCACCATATCAAGCATAATGGTTTTTAATGGTCAGCACTGGCTTTTCCATAAACAACCAAATAAAAGGATTTTTGTGCATGGCCTTAAATTTAAAGTCAAGCAGAAGGTGTGAGGATTTAAAAAGTTATTGCAAGAAATGAAAATCAATTGATAAAAAAGTATTATCAAAGTGTACATAAAGGACAGTTTATGTTATCAGCCCTGACTTTTCTTCTAAGGGGAAAGTTGAGAGAAATTTGACCTTGCAGTGACACCTGATGGCAAGGGCTCTTTAGTCTTCCAGACTAAAGGCAGTGGCTTCTGACTTTGGGGGAGTTGCTTTGGAGACTGTTGGTGATGGCATTAAAGAACTATTATTAGGCATATCGATTTTCTTTTAATCACCTAAAAATTGGAGCTTTTAAAATTGTTGTTGCAAATTTGTTTACTATATTTCTTTAGAAATATAATTTGTGAAAAATTGAATTTTCCTACAGAAAAATGAATTAATAAACAGTCCCACATTTCTGGGTTCCAAATTCTTAGCAGTGTTTCTATTCACAGAGTGCATGAAAATTGGCTAAAGAAATGTCTTTAATTAATTGAAAAAGAAACCCAAAACCAGAAAGCTAAGACCTTACAGAAATAACATTTTAATCCCTGTATGAATAATGCTGGTGTTAAAACCAAATTTTATCAGACATTACTGTGGCCATGTAATTTAGAATTTTCCTGTATAACTGAATTTTGAAAGGTGAAAAAAAATTTACCATGCACTGTACAATACATTGCAAAAGTTCAAATATCATCTTTGTCAAATACATGCTGACTGACTTTAATGCACTCCCAAGTCATGTTGCAAAATCCTTTCCAACATGCTTGAAATAAAGCTCTTAAATATTGTTGGGTTATTTTTCCCCCCTTTTGAGACATTCAGAAGCATCCATAGCCCTGAATCAAATATGGGGTTTAAGAGAATATCAGGTCAGAAATTTGTAACTTTTCAGTATAATGTTCACTCTGTTGGGGAGAAAAGATTTAAAGAATGTGTGAGATAGAGAAGAGGAAGGACAATGTGAAAAATTTGCACAGAATATTGAACTTTATAAGATTCGTATTTTTAACATGGAAATAAATGGAATATATTATATGTATTTGTCACATAAAGAGAATTTTTAAGTATCTGCTAGAAAGGATTTTCATTTGTAACGTCTGCCAAAACACAGACTGTGATTAATTTAAAGAATAAACATGGTGTGTCCTCATATCACCCTGTTGCATTCTCTCCCCCTTTTAAAACCATGCACTAGTGAAATTTATTTTTTAAAAAATAATATAAATTGTTGAAAATGGCTGATTTTTTTTGTTGGTTTTTTTCTTTTTTGCAAGTTGCAGCCCCAAGAAAATAATTTAAGTATTCAGCTAATCTGTGTCCATGCAAACAAATGTCTCTTTGATTTCATCCAACAGGGGAGCCACAGGATCTTGTATTTCAAAGTCCTACATGTCTTGGCATTGGTAAGTGATATGCCTGCTGGAGCTGTGGGCTCGTCACTCTTTGTGCTGACTGCCCCATCTCTGTCCAGAGGAGGTCTGACATTTTGTTCCGACCACGTCTTTGGTCTCCTGCTTTTCACCTGATGCTTCCTAGAACTTCACTCCGTGACTTGTAACATGGCTTAATGGCTGGATAGCTCCATTTCTGTGGCGTAATAGGGCTTGTGGGGGAGGTGAGGGTCAGAGAAATGAAGAAAAAGGAACAATAAAAATATAAAGGTGCCATTGAAAAGGGCAATTGTTGCATGAAACTGACTGATTCTTTAGATTAATCCATGGCTTCAGATTGGACCAAAATTTGAGTGTCATTGAACTCCAAACCTGATAGTTCTTCAAAGCTCTGTTCTTTCACCTGAGGGCCTCCGTTAGGGCACAATGTGTGCAACTTCCTCTGAGAACACAGGATCACTTTGTATCCCTAGAAACAGGCTCAGAAGACACAACATTAAGCATGCAGTGTTACCAGGGTCTGCGACCTGTGTATTTTATTTATTTTTTTTTTGTAACGCTGGTTGCTATGACAACAGTTTTACAGCTGCTATGAACGAGAATAAGAAGGTCCAGTTGAACTTTCCAGAGATGACTGGGAAGCTCTTCTTGTCAGAGGGGCCAAGGTTGGGTCTACTAGGGAAGAAGGGGGGAAGAGTTTGAACCATCCAATCACCATGTTGGACAGCTCCAGTTCATCTAATAGTATCTGGGCCACTCCCATGAAGGACTTGTGATCCATACGGCCATAGTCTCCCCAGACGATGATCTGCAGGCAAACAGAAAGAAACATAAATACAATCACGGACATAAAACAAGCAAAGCCCTCATGAGCAATTATTAGTTGCTTTAATTACTTGACATCAAACACCATGTTAAACTTGTTAAAATTTATCGAGTTGATTCTGGCCCATGGTGACCCTATGTCTGCGGATTAGAATTGCATGTCATTCGGTCATCAAGGTTGTGACCTTTTGGAAGCAGATTTCCAGGTGGGTATGAACATCCAACCTTTAAGTTAATGGTTTAAGTATGTAATCATTTGTGCCATTTGAGTATTCCTATCATGATATTTGTCACTGTGTTAAATACTGTCATTTTAAAAGGTATCACAGTTGGTGTACAATACACAGATGATATATTCTTACACCAATTTGAAGACTGGTGAACTGAGATACTATTAATGAAATTATCTCTCTTTTATAATATGCGAGCTCTGGTGGTTTAGTGGTGAGAAGTTACCACAAATTCTTGCCGCCAACACAAAGGTCCTTGGCTCAAATGCACTAGCTACTCTGTGGAAGAAAGATGGGCAATCTCTTCTCCTGTGATTTGCAGCCTCTGAAAACCCTATGGAGGGTCAGCTATGGGCCGGTTCGGACTCAACTCAATGGTACATTATAATATGATGGGGGTCATAAAATACTGGTGGCCTAGAGGGTACTGCCATTCCAAGAATGGGAAGCTGGAATCTTCCAGCTACTCCAAGGGAAAAGACAGGCAATCTCCTTCTTGTGCAATTTACAGCTTCTGAAAACATGCTGGAGGGTTAGCTATAAGTTGGTTCTGACTCAAGAGCAATATTCAATAAATATACTGGAATCCAAAGGTACATTACAGTAAATGTACTGAAGTCTTAAGATCACACGCACTTCAAAGAGAATGGAGTCTAAGTGTGAAGGGCTTGGCAAGTCTATGATTCACTTTGAAGGAAATAACAGTGGACAGAGTTTGCAAGCACTGGTTATGGATTTGAAGTTCCCAAGATTTCCAACAGTCGGGAATAGAAGGTAATGTGATATAAAAAGATGCTGGATAAAGGTCCCACCTCACAAAAATACTTTCTTAGGTAAGCAGGGTAGAAGAATTCAGTAAGTACCTGTAACACCTTTCCTTGGGGGCTCTCCTCGAATGACAAAAGCTGCTGGTAAAGGGGCTCCAGCGTTTTCCTCGCCACTTTTGTTTTCTTTTTGGCTATGCAGACTCCATTATCTAACAGGTACACCTTTACATAGGGTGCTGGGGAAAGAGACAGAGAGCAAGTGAGGAGCTTCCGCTATGGAAGGGAGCTTGGCCAGCGCACAAGTGTGACATCGTATGCTGAAGCGCTTCCACTTTTGTCACAATCACTAGGTAAACAATGGATAATCAGCAGTCACTCATGCAATTTTAGGCAATGCTGATACTGCCTGTGAGCTGATTCTGATTTTCTTATCAACCAGTTTGCTAGATGAGAACAGTGGATTAAATATAGTGAACTGCTTCCAGCCTTTAGATGTACTAAGTGTTTACGTGATCCATTCATAAATCTAATTGAACATGTTTAATATGTATTATTTTACTCACTCGTCCTCGCAGATCCCTTATTTATCATTCAATAGGGCGTGTTTCTTGAAGGTGGTGGGGATACAAGGCATACACCGGTTTGATATAATATGTTGAACTTAAGTGGGAAGAGGCAATTAATTGTGAATTTAATGGCCTGAAATTTATCTGGCAGACAGCTCATCCAAACCTTTGTCATGTGTGGATAAGTTATACCATTCTTTTTAAGCAGAAATGGGTTGTCTAGCTCAAGAGCTTTATATACATGATTGTCTTAATCAGCACTGCAAGGTTGTACAATAGGTAGCTGATAATTCAAAATTCCTGCAGAGACAGAGCAGTTAGGAGATTCATAATCATGAGTCAGTGCAGGTCCTGAGGTTAGAAACCAAGTTTGAAATTCCTTCATAATTGTTCCAGAAATCATTTTCCACGAGTTCAAAAACCGTAGATTGTGGTATTTCCGTACCAAATATGAGGCATCATGACTGAAAGTTATAACTCTGCCTCCTTTTCCTTACGTATTACATAAGGAAAGTCTTAATTAATGTTCAGCATATGTAGACTTATGTTGCCTTGGCGGCCTCTGTCTATTTTTACTCTAATTTCAGAGTTCTAGGGGAATTTCTGAATATCTAGATAAACTGAAGAACAGCAAGAAGCAGCACCAGCTGGCAAAATGAGACAATTTTATATATGTTTTATCACAAAATGACTGATCTAAGCAAGGGGATTATTATTTTGCCATAGTTTCTACCATCTATGCACTTATTTACCAACTTTTATTATCTTCCCCTCCCCCCGACCACCCTCATTAAATGCTCACCTAGGATAAACACATAAACTATAATTCCTCCAACTAGTCAGTCATACAGTTGACTCATATCTAATAAAAAATAGACTCTAGCTGAAAAGAGTGAATAATGAGTAATAATGGAAGAATGGCTTCCTTTTGTTACCTGGCAGTGTCTTGGAACCTGGTTTGACAACAAGGCCACGGGCCCGGATGATTTCCACCTCCAACTGTCCTTTTTTGTCCATCATTCCTACCTGAATGTCACCTAACAGTGCATGTGGGGGGAAGAAATGAAAACATCTTAACACATAAACACAATGACTAAAACACTTATGCCAAAGACCTTGGTTTAATACCCTTTACTTCCCCACACATTTAACAAAAATTCAAAGACAGCTAAAATTTTCACCAACAAAGTCATACTTTAAAAAGCACCATGAATTATGGTACCAAAAAAATGAGATGGAGTGTCTCACTGTTAAACTCTAGACACGACTCTTGTTGGTGACAATAAAGATTCAATGAAACACAGAACATACTTTTCAATATACCACAAGAACCAAGTTGCATTGATAACAATTCTTACCCATTGCTGGTGTAGCCAGAGTCTGACGCCCCACGAGCTGGGCAGGGCCAAGGCCATCCAAAAAGTCGCTGAACTGGCTATCAGAGGCCAAGCGGACACCAGGAAAAATCAGGCTAGAAGTAAATGAAGATAAGAAAATGAAGCTTTTAATCCATTTACTTTCAAGCAAGCTCAAGTCCTCTCTAGTTTCCTTTCTGTGGCATAAGTCCTGGGTACCACTGTTTTGTCACCATTATACCTACTGGGCCCCTCGTATGTTCTCTGGTGACCAGATACACCACCAGAAGCACTCTTCTATCACAGGTTTCTGTTTGTATGTCTGCCGTCCCCTTGCTCTGGAGGGTTCTACCAATAAATCAATACCTATTGATTACTCCTTGTATGTCAGGCATTAACATATTTAATCCTCTTAGTTGCATTCTGATAGACTATTGTTTAATTCATTACATAGATAAAGAAGCTCTTCTGGGTCATTCCTATTAATATACACATTTTCCTCCATTTAAAAAAGAGAAAAAAAATCTTGCTCCTGGCTCACTCCTCGCTAGCTGCTGTCTTGTGTTACCTTTGTCCTTTTATAATAAAATTCCTTCAAACACTTGTCTCTGTGTGCCATCTTCAATTTATTTCATTGTCACTTGAAACTTTAATCAGCTTTTCATTTTCATCGCTCCATCACATTTTCTCTAATCAGGCTCATCTAATGACCACAGTGCTAAGTCCACCTGTCAGTACTCATCTAATTTAATAGCAGCAGTTGACACAATCAATCCTTCAACTCTTCATTGAAACCCTTTCTCCAACTGGCTTTCTGTACCACTTGGTCTCTTGCATTTTCCCTTTTACCTCCCTGCCCATGGTTCTCTTGCTATCTCTGCTACTAATATTGGGAGCACTTCCAACTCAAGGCACAAGCTTAAAAAATGCCAGCTGCTCCGAAGAAGAAATAAAAGTGATCTACTTCCATGTGATTAACTGTCTCTGAAAACCTGCTATGAGTTGGTTCCAACTTGATGGTACATAAAAACAATCATTAACAGCTTCGCTTTTCTAAATGCCCATTTCCCTTTGCTGATCTTATCCAAAGTAATTTTAAATATCTATAGTTCCTGACATCTCTAGCATGGATGTCTTCCTAGGACCACAGACACACACTCTAATTGTTTAGTTTACATATTCTGCCAAGAGGATACCCCCTCTTAACCAATGAGAATTTCAGTTCTTTTCCTGCTTCTTTCTCTCAATGTTGTTCTGGCTGTGGAGTGAATTCTGACTCCTGGTATGTTACAGAGAGATTTCCTGACTATAAATGTGATGGGAGATACTGCCAATCTTTTTCTTCTGCATATTGTTGGATAGTCTCAAACCACCAACCTGTATGTTGGAAGTCAAATGCAAAATGTTACCCTACTCACTTCTGATATCAGAAAAACACCTATCTCAGGGACTCTTTACTGCTTTAGCAAAAAATGTTTTTAAACATCCACATGACTTTAAATCTTTACTCCAACGGGTTTTCCAATTGATCCCCACTCATGGGCCTCTCCGGTGTGCCATAAAAGAACTAAGCTGCACAGGGCTGGTTTTAAGTGGTTGATTTGGCACTAGATCCCCAGGTCTTTGAAGCTACCTGTGAATAGATCTGACTCATCAGTCTTTAAATTAGAAGACATGTGGATGAACTTGGAACTAACCCAAGGGCTTCTTCTCTGTTTACATTACCCAAAAAGTGAACCTCACCTGGAGTCAGAACAGATTCAATAGCACCGATCAATAACAGCATATTTTACTAATATATGTAAAACTTGTGTGTATAAACTTTAATAATTTGTCTTGTTTCTTGTCCATCATTCCTATTAGAACATTAACTTTCATGATGGTGGGATGATACTTGCTTGACTCAGTGACGGGAAAAATGGGATAAGGTCTGCTGGAGATGATAAGATTGGTTCAAGCTAGGGCAGGTTTCAGAGCTCATGGACATATAGAGTTGTTATGAGTCACAGGCAACTTGATGGCACATAATAACAACAACAACAACAACAACAACAACAACAACTGTATCTCTGGAACCTAACATCAGTCATACAATACTGTATACTCAACAAATACTGACAAGGTTCAATCAGTTAAAATCAATTAAAATAGGACTTGCACAAGTTGTAGTAGCCCAAGTGAAAAACCAAACTAAAACAAGCACAAAACACACAAAAACCAGTTAAGAACCTAGGCTCGTTTGATTCCAAAGTCCAGTGTCTTAACCATCAAGTGATATTGCCTCTCTTGTATGACTCACATCGCTAACATCTAGCACGGTGTCTGGGACATAGAAGGTATGGTGAAGATGTGTTAAGTAGGTTTATGAGCATTCATCTCATTTCTCCAATAAGATCATGACATTGTCTGGGGTACAGGGGCAATACCTGAATTCTCTCTAGCAGTATCTGATGTTGTGAGGGTCTCTCAAGTTGGTTCCAACTTACAGCACTGTCATGCCCAACAGAAGGAACTTCCCACTCTTGTACCATTCTCACAATTATTGCTGAGCCCATTACTGCCACCACTGTGCCAATCCATTGAGTTGAGGGTCTTCCCTTTTTTTTTCTGACCCTTTACTTTATCAAGCATGATATCACAACATAGTCTTTAGAACAAGTACTCTATGCATATATACTTTATGCCCCATCTCTTTTAAGATTTCCTTGATTAATATAAATCCATTTCTCACCCCATACATCCAAATACTCAATTAAACCTATTTTAACTGATTTAATAAGTATTATATGGCTCTATATCCATAAATGCATAGACATCACAGACATCTTTTGCATCAACATGATTTTGCTAAGACAAATTCTCATTAGGCATATTACCATACCCTCCTGTCTGTGAATTAAACACACATACAAAACATCTCAACTGATGCTTCCAGAGTGATGACAGAGTGAGGGCAGTAAACAGAACTTTCCTCCATTAATGTCCTGGACCACCCCAGCTATGGACCAGAAGTTGTTGATTACCACTACTTTGTTGATAATAGGAATATATAATCCTTTCTTTAAGAGGGGGCGCTCTGGTGGGCTAGTGGTAATAATCTGCACTGCAATCTCAAAGGCATGCAGTTTGAATCTGGCAGCTACTCCAAGATGGACAAGGATGGGGAGTCTCCTCCCATGTGATTATTGCTTCTGAAAACCCAATGGAGGGTCAGCTCTGGGTCAGTTCACAACAACAACAACAACAACTTTAAAAAACAAACCAACCCAAGCAAAACCTATCTGAGACAGCTGACTCAAAGGTAAATGACTTTAAAATAAAGCTCACCAGCTTTCTTTGTGGCTTTTTGTTTTGGCTGCCCTATTTTATTTAAATTGTTCATTCCAGAATGGAAACAAGTATACTGCAGTACTCCATATGTTTTAGTAACAACTGCTCTAAAAACAAAGAAGAAAAAATCTGTATTGTTAGGGTGGTGCTTATTTTTGCCTCTGTAAATTATTTGAAGGGGCAGATCTTTTATTTGCATATGTTCTGAGAGTCATATGCTAGCATCTTGCTATTCAAGTAAAACACTTCATCCCCAAACCTATTCCCTTGATAGAAAAGTGCCACACTGTTGAGAAGCAGGTGAGTGAAAGTGATCTTCACAGGAAAACAGCTAGTGGAAACAAAGCCAGTGCTGCAGAGCCTAGGAACTAACTAGCTTTGGGACAGCACTGGACGGACAAGGTGGCCCACTCATTCCAGCCAGCCTCACTCACTTTCCTTCCGAGCTGTAGCTATTCATGCTGCCATCAGTAGATTCTCGGCTTGCCTGCCGGGTCATCCAGTTCCTCATTTCCACAGCCAGACCAGTCTCTGTACTTCTCTGCACTGTGCTCCGTAGCTTTTTACCTCCTGCTTCTACAAAGAGAGAAAAAAAAAACCAGAGAGGGATAACAGTTTTATCGTACTAGCTGATAACAATCACACACACACAAAATCCCAGCCAGGATTTTGAGATCCTCAGATGAAAAGAGCTATATAAATACAAAAGTGTTCAATTAGCACAGCAGAGAGAAAAAGGTATTTAAAAAAATGTCTTCTTGCGTGGGATGAAACTTTTCCAACAGATCTTCAGGAAGCACACAATACCATTGTTTTATTCCCATTTAAAACAGTGTTCAAGTTGGCAACATAAGGAAATACAAAAGGTTTGCCTTAAGTAAAATAAAATGAGCTTTGTTTTCATTGTAATGTTTAAATGCCAGATTTTTTCACGCCTCTCTTTTCTTTTTGTCATAGTAGAGGAACTAGGCCTCCGTGCAGTTTACAAAGAACAGGTGGTGAGTAATCCACAATTTCTATTTTTACCTTTCACAAGAAAAATCTACCTTTGTAAGCTGATCAGTATTAGAAGGCAAAGAAAGCGGTATAAAGGAGAGAACACTGTTTGATAGCAGCTTCACAGAGGGAAGTAATGTTTAGAGAATTTCAGAAGATTCACAAAGGTAAATGAGAAAACCCAGCAATGCTATGTGAAAAGAGCTTTGCAATTTTTGGTCATGGTTAGTCACGAACTTCAACACTCTTCAGTAGCCTGGACATGGGAATTATGTATGGGAGCCCAATAGAATGATGCCGTTGTTGCTGTCAAGTCAATCTGACTCACAGCAATGCCACATATGCAGAATAGAGTGTTATTAAAGACATGTTCGCCTCTTATCACGTTCTTCCCTGTTGTAGTATCTCTGGGTAGGTTTGAACCTGTAATCTTTAAGGTAGTTGCCAAATGGTTAACTGTTTGCATCATCTGAGGTTCTTTAGAGGACTAGGCAGGAAACAAAGCTAAATACTAGAAATAGAATTAAGAAGTGCTATCTGGGGAGACTGGAGAGGAAGGGGCTTCATTCAGGTAGCAGGGCTTGAACTAACTATGCAGGAAGCAGGGCTTAAACTGGCCTTGAGAAATAAGTAGAGTTGGGACCAGCAGAGGAATAAGGCTGGAGTTTAAGGGAAATAACATGATGTACAGAAGAAGGGCTGACCATGTACATCTATCTGGAGGGATGGTTCCAGGACCCAACCACATGTGGGAATGATGTGGAAATGGTTCAGATAAGAAACAGAGCTGAGATTCTTAAAGAGTCTCGAATGTTGGAATGTGGAGCTTGATTGACTACGGGAGCAAGAAGGTTATACTCTCAAGCATTTTAATTATACCCTTCTTGTCAGATCTAAATACTTATCCACACTGACCATGACATGATTACCTCTTTGGGATATACTCACAAGTAAGCTCTTTTAGTATCTGGCACAGATATATAGTCGGATCAATAAATATTTGCTAATATCGCCAGTGACTTCTTGAAACTCATTTTTATCAGTATGCTTATAATATCTGGTAACCATTTTGAAACACTGTTTTTTTAAGTTACACCAAATATTCACTGCAAACTTTAACATACATCAAAATGCCTTTAAAGCCATATGGAAATATAAGCTATGATTAATCTATGACTCAAAGTAAGGCTGATATTTTGAATAACTTATAATACACATGTTGTACTGATATGAACTGTAGGAAGTTATAAAGCATCCCTCACCGATGAGGGAATTCTCAGTTCAAATAGGGAAGTTAATGTTAAAATTTAAAATTTACCAATTTAGAACATTGAATGGAATAAATAATTTATGAAAGACTTGTCAGTGGAAGTTAACACCATTAGGTGGAAAGGTGGGGAAAGATATGGGCAAAATAATCCCCACAACAAACTTTAACACTGGGAAACCTAGCTAACACCACCTAGCCAAGTGACAAAATTCAATATTAGTAGTTAAGCAATCACATATTTACTGATATGGGATACATACCATCACATATGGAGATGTTCTACATAAAAATATACAATTTGAATCCAAATAGGCCTTTGCCAGGTACGAAAAGCACTTAGGACAGAGTAAGATGATAAATGATATAGATAAAGTCAGTCCATGAGATATTGTCTAAGACAACTGGTTAGTCTTTTCAAAAAGTCAGCATCATAAAGTAAACAAGTGATCCAATGAGGCTTGGAGTTGTAGACTAAGTGAATTCAAAGAGATATAATAATGATCAGACATTATGAGTGATGCTACCAAAAGTGGAGGACTTTTAATCTGCAGCCCTCAGGCCTGTTTTTTCACTGTTTTTGTTCAAACATTCTTCAAGGTATACCCCTGGTGTGTCCACTTGCCATACAGAGGTAACTTGTGGTGGCTGTGAAGCTGAACACTGTGACACAGATATGGTGTCAAATGCATTAACGGTTACCCATGGCAGACAGTGTTTGGTGGAGCTCCCTGATTAAAACAAGCTTGGAAGCAGGAGTGGCTTCCACTTTCGTAATAGCTTGCCTTTGGTAACCCTACGAACTTGGAAAAAGGATGAAAGTCACAGAAGTGTTGAGCACTTCCGTTCATAGGGTCGCTATGAGTCACTTATGACTCAACAGCTCTTAACAACAACAACAACAACAACAACTGATTGGTTTCAGCTTGGAAAACATATTTCTAAAAGCAAAACACAATAAAAGCAATTTTAGAGGGAAATCTGCATATGAGCTGAAGCTTAATGTTGTTATTGTTGTTGTTATGTGCCGTCAAGTCGCTTGTGACTCATAGCGACCCTACGTACGTACAACAGCCCTAAACTCTGCTCTGTCCTGTGCCAATCGCACTGTCTTTGACACTCCCATCCCGATTACCCCAGTCACTGAATCAATCCACCTCATAGAGGGCCTTCCCCTTCTGTGCTGTCCCTCCACCCTCCCAAGCATGATGTCCCTCTCCAAGGACCGGTTTCTCCTCACAACATGTCCAAGGTATGTTAGACGGAGCCTCAGAATCCTTGCCTCCAAGGAGCTACACGGTTTAACCCTTTCCAGGACGAATCTGTTTGTTTTCCTAGCAGTCCATGGTATTCTCAATACTCTTCTCCAGCACCACCGCTCAAAGGCATCAATTCTCCTTCTATCCTCTTTAGTCATTGTCCAACTCTCTGATGCATAACAAGTGATCGCAAAGACTATGGCCTGTATCAGACTCACCTTAGTCTCCAGAGACACCATTGCTCTTCAGTACTTTGGAGAGGTCCCTAATAGCAGACTTTCCCATGGCAATGCGCCTTTTAATTTCCTAGCTACTGGTGCCAAGAGTGGTGACTGCGGAGCCAAACAAACTAAAGCTGTGAACAATCTCAATCTCTTCACCATCCATCCTGATGCTGCCAGTTGGCCCAGTGGTCAGAATCTTTGTCTTCTTGACATTGAGCCTCAATCCAACAAACTGTGGCTGAAGCTTAATAGGATTAGGAAATCACTGCTAATTTTTTTACACAGATAGTATTATATATTACAAAGGAGAATTTACTTATTACTAAGAAATGTGAAGTATTTTTTACTAAAATGTTATGAGGTCCACAATTTACACTGAAACGGCATAGCAAAATCCCAAAACAATCCATATATGCCAACACCTTCAAACATAGGACAAATTATTATTTAATGTTATTTTTTTCAAAAGATACAAAATAGACCCTGGTGTTCAATTTAATATTTATTATTTTGACCATACTCTAAAATGGCTACATTAAAAAGAACATAGCATTTTTCCTCAACTGTGAAATGGAATCATGGAAGGTGCTGGGCTGATGTGAGGAGACCAGGCTGAATCCCATCATCTGTATACACATTTCACGCTCCACCTTCTGTGAAGAACGCCTTTGCGAAAGAAAATGTCCATGAAATGAGACATACACTTCAGTGAAGTTTGAAAATGTGGCATGATTTTATGTAGAGCAAACATATATGGCTTGCAAAGGAAATGAGATTCCCTGAAGGTCTCAGGGCATAATCTTTGCAGTGTCACATGAAACTAGAAATTATGGTGAATACAGAGTGATGACAGATTGCTACCATTTGTCAAAGAATAACAGTATAAGGTGCTTCAAGTCCTTTGGCATGCAAATGATTTTTTTACATGTACCCTCTATGGCTCTAATAATTCCCTTTTAGTACAGAAGATATTTTTGGACCCCCTATAATAAGTGACATAACAAGAGTTATAGACAGTCTCTTGACTCCATATTCATTGCTATTCCATAAATTATTGGCTGAGTATGACCACATTGATAACCTATGCAGTTTAGTATGCTGATGTTGTTGGGTGCAGTCAACTTAATTCCAACTAATAATGACCCCATATGCCAGACTAGACCACCTAATAGTGTTTTCTTGGTTATAATCATTATAGATGTAGATTATTAGATCTGTTGTCCATTGAGGGGCTAGGTAGGTTTTAATTACCGATCGACTGTTGTGCAATGGTTAAGCAGCCTGGTACAGAACAAAGTGCACTATTCTATGAGAGGGGAGGTCTGGTGGTCTACTCCACAGAGAGTTACACTGCTAACCCAAGGCTGTGCTTGTCTGGTGGTTCAAATCCATAAGCCATTCTTTGTAAGAAAGATGAGATATCTCCTACTCTGTAATCTAGCCTTGAAAACTGACTGGAGGGTCAGGAATGAGCTGGAATCAGTTTTATGACAATGACAGAGAAAGGAAGAGAGGAGGGAGAGAGAGATATATTGATAGATTCTATGAGGACTGTATTGAATGTTAAAAGATTCTATGAGTACTGTATAGAACTGTGGGATATTCCATGAATACTGTATATAGATATATTGATATAGATATAGATGATAGATAGATATTGTGGATATATTCTATGAATACTATATAGAACTGTAGAGACATTCCATGAATACTACACACACACACACATATACAGATAGATAGATATTGTGGATATATTCTATGAGTACTGTATAGAATTACAAACAGCAACATGATGGGATGGAAAGAATAGAGTGAAGAGGGAAATCT